ATATATGCCCTGATTGTACTCTCGGCTTATGAATGAAATCCTTCGCATGGTTCTGGAAAACAGCACCAGTCTGTCGGCAACCGCGTCCGACACTAGGTAACTATAATCGGGCGTTTTTAAGAATGAATTAGTTGCTCTCCTTGACTGTGCTCAGCTTAAAATCTTTTCGAATCAGGGTGAGCAGAACAGGCAGCATAATAAAGTTAGGAGGAAAAAAGTGGAAATTAAATAAACGCACATGTTGATGATGCGTCTGATGGTATCAGCTCGGGCGACGACGACGAACGAGCAAACGGAAATGCAGCGTCGTTACAAAGTCTAAACACGACATCGGCTCATCAAGAAGAGCAACAGCTCACGGTGCGGTGCAACAACAATAGCTCAGTGACCGATTGATGGCGGCAGGAGCGGATGCATTTCAGCAAACATACCACGATGCCCTTTCTGTGTCCTCATTTTTTCATAACGATTGTTATCGCTGGCCACTGCACTATAATAACTGATGAGTTTATTCGCGATCACCCAGAGGTCACGGTCAACCCGGAGAGATGAGATGCGGATTATTTATGGGGCTAGTCATTTCTCGCTAATCGATATTGACAACTGTTGGGAATGGCTATGAATGGGAAACTATGATTAATCGTGGCTTATGGAGAACGAGATTTCAGGCGTTACATTTGATAACGGCACAAAAGCTTTTATAAACAAACTTTTTAAGGCCCTTTACACGCGAACCGAAGTACGCTCACGCAAACCAACAACATCATCGGATAGGGGCAACTCTCACCTATCCGAAAGTGGTATTGCTTTGCGTAGGCGTACTTTGGTTCGCTTGTAAAGAGCCTTAGAAAGTTTGTGTACAAAAGCTTTTGTACCGTTATCAAATGTTACGCCTGATTTGATACTTAAACTTGTTTGAGTTCCGGGGAATGTACAATTTAAATAAAAGCTCTGATAAGAACACCGGCACCAAGCATGGTTTTTGCCATTCGTTTGCTATAAGCAGTAGATTTTTTTTCGGAATTATTAAATCATGTGATGTTCTGATGATTTGTTGTACTTGTAAGTAAAAAAAAGGGGTTTTAAATTTGTAGAGTCAGGAGTCCGTTGAACAAGGCAGGTTGAAAATTCAAGGAATGAGGCTTAGCTGGCCCTAAAGAATAGCGTCATATAATGCCTATTTAAAAAGGCGCAACTTGATCATTTTCGTTTTAGTGCTATCTAGTTAGTAAATCTTATCATAAACTATCCATACTTTTGAAAATCTGTATTTACGGAGTTATTTGAGATTTGGACGTAATTACGTTGGTAAACAAACACGTCAATTCCCGATTTCTCTTGAATAAAACCTCAATCTCATAAACAAAATATACCAAATGATAGAGGAATCAATCCTCTACCTGTTAGTGTTATTAGTTTTCTAGTTTGAGCGTTTATTCGCTAGAAATCGGCGATTAACGTGTTTGTTTACAAATGCAATTACGCTCAACTCTCAAATCACTCCGAATTTCTGAACATCTTTGTACTTCTAAATATCATTTGGGTTTTCTTTAGAACTACATGGAAAGTCCTTTTGATATTTTTTCAAGGCTTCAGGTTGTTCAGGTATCATTCTGAAAATATCCAACAATCCAAATCACATATCTCAGATATTCTCTCATATAATTCCAGGCAGCTCAGAAATTATTCCAATGAGGTTAATGAACAATTCCACGCCAAATGGTGAATCGGTATATCTCAACCATATCGGATTTGCATGAAAATTTGCATAATTGTTCGTTAAATTTTTACATTGCTTACATTTTGCTAAAATTCGGCTATTTTGGATCTTGACAATTTTTTAAATGGTACCTTTAAATTAAAAAAAAAATGTATCACGGAAATGGAACTTCTGATCAAAACGACGTCTTAGACAAAAGTGCAGAGAAATAAAAAAAAATCTGGGAAAAAAAATTATTAATAGTAATTTCAAGTAAAACTTCCAAAATAAATGTTTAACACATAATTTTTGTTTTTTTTTTTAATGACTCATGTAAAATAATTTTTTGGAGTGTGAAAATTATGGATACTTGACAAACATCGTACGCCAAGAACTGTTCGTAAAATTTTTGAAACTTTTGTTAGTTTTGTTTTGTTAACTTTTTGAAGTAAAGCCGTTACTCCCCGGTCCATGAGAGTTGATGGATTGATAGGAAGGATCCAGGTGTAGAAGCTGCTTCCCTGGTATCGGTAGCATTGGAAAACAAGGTCGTGAGCAGAGATGTTATGCCTCAGAACATCCCTGCGGCGCCGACTGGGATTGAACCCAGGCCTGCTGGGGTGAGAGGTAATTACGCTTCCCACTACACCACCGTCGCCGCTCATCATCACAGTTCCAAGTGGTTTTGAAAAAAAAAACCGTGGAACTCTTGGATCAGTTTCATGAATCAACCACTTTTAAGGATATTCTGGATCTTCCGCATGACGATCCCATGGCCATCCAGGTCCATGTTTATTCCACGATCCCAAATTGATTCTATCATCACAGTTCCTAGTGTTTTTCAAAAAACTGCGGAGCTCTAGGATCAGTTTCATGGATTGACCATGGCCATCAAGATCCATGTTTGTGCCACGACTCAAAATTCTTTCTTATACTACAGTTCCTAATGTTTTCAAAAATTCCACGGTGCTCTAGGATCAGTTTCGTGGATTGACCACTTTTACGAATGTTTTTGATCATCCGGAGGACCGTTCTGTTATCTCCAGGATCCATATTAAGGAACCATGACGATATTCTCGCTAATTATGAACATTGGTGCCCATCAATCTAAATTATAGATCTTATGTCACTTTCACATACCTTAAACAACGTGTAGCGACTCTTTTCGTTTTTTCAATCCTATCTTATTTTCAATCTTTTTTCAATCAAAATAATCTACAGACCCTAGGAATTCTAGAAGTACCACAATTTTTTAAATCCGTCAAGAAAGGGCTATGTTATGCCGTTGCAAACTTGCCGTTTCGGCGTAAAGTTTTTTACCCACCGTATTTGGAGTGTTAAAAAAAAAAATGGTTTTATATAAGTTATAGGGTTATTGTCCCTATTGTCAGCCTATGTGTTCCGTATGGGCTCATATATAAAATTCAAAGGAAATATTTTTTGGAAACGTTGGAAGCCAATCCATATACATGATTGTTCGACACCATCAATACGTCTGTCCTCGAATCTGTGACCGATGAACGCTCCACCACCAACTTAGCAACACAACGCAATGGACAATCACCGATCGATATCCCACACATCGACTGTACGGAACATACCACTGTTCGCGATGTCATCTCTCTACAGCATCCGCACCGAAGGGAAAACCAATACACCATAGGACGAGTCAGTGCACATCAATCCACCGTCGCAGCTGGGTGCGTAGCCCACAAATTCATCGCGCCGACAATCTATGTCGCCATCTTCGGCAAACGATGAAGATAATCAATTATTTGTTTAGTGTTTAGTTAAGTTACAAAAATAAACTTTTATTAAATGAGTGTAGTGTAATTTAAGAAAAATAAACTGTGTTTTGTGCATGCAATATTGTTAGTTGTGAAACTTTAACCCGAAGAACACTCGGTCGCTGGATATGTTTTCGGCAATGAGCCTAGCAAAACAATTATTCCTCTGAAAAAGGAACAATGATGACTTTTCAAAAAATATTTTATTTCGAGCAGTATTTATTCCAAAAACAATTACAGTTCTTTCCCGATTTTGTCAGCTCCCGATTTCGTCTACCCCCGATTTTGTCTACCCCTGATTTTGTCAGCCTGCAGATTTCACTACATTTTTGAGTGCCTCGCATGAGCTGTATGGCGAATGCGCCATTTCGTTGCCGCTCTGTTGATTGGAAATAATACCAGGCATTTTCATGCCTCACATAGGTGAGTGCAATTCCATTCAATCTAACCCAGTGAGAGTTGTTCTACCGGAATCTTTTTTGCATGTGCACTTCATTACTGCTTGGATGCTGTGATCTTCGTATTGCTGAACTATAAACAACAATTGGTGGACTGACTATGGAAGCCTTTATTGTATGCTAGTGAGTCAATACTCCCGGAGTCGGTCGATGACCTCAAAACTGGTCAATGACGCAGACACGTAGCCATTGAAGCGGTACAATTGCTCTGTTGGATAGCGCCATTTGTCGTTAGAGAGATCCGTCTACTGTGATTGCACATCTCAACCATAGTGAGGAGACAAATTTGATTAATATCAAGGCACTAAATTGCCTGCTCCCAGGTAAATAGGGTTCCTTTTTTTGTACTCGTTTCGCGCGGTCTACGCGGTCTTTTGATTATAGATCCTTCCATCACTCATCGATATGTCAGCGGCAGAGAGGAAATTGCGCGGTTTGAAGAATCGCAAACGCAGCATTCTCTCATCAATATCGGCGATTGGATCCTTCGTCACCAGTTATCAAGTCGACAGGGATAAGCGCGAAGTACCCGTGCGCTTGGAGAATGTGATCGCTTTGTGGACAGAATTCAACGCTGTACAAGGCGAATTGGAAACGCTAGAAGAAGCTGACGATGTCTTGGATGGATATTTAAAGGAGCGCACAGATGTAGAGCGAATATACTACAAGACGAAGGGTACGTTACTCCAACTAAATCAAAATGACTCGTTGCCCATTACCCGGCCCCATGATATGAATCAAGTGTCCCATGTCAAGCTGCCAGATATTAAATTACCAGTTTTTGATGGGCATTTTGAGAGCTGGCTAAATTTTCACGATTTATTTGAATCCCTCGTGCACACTTCGACTAACTTGTCGACGATTCAAAAAATTTATTATTTACGCTCCTCTTTGGCTGGCGAGGCATTAAAACTCATACAAACGATTCCAATTAGCAACGAACAGTATCCTGTTGCCTGGAATCTGCTCGTGAGCCATTATCAGAACACGCGGCGCTTGAAACGTACTTACGTCCAATCACTTTTCGATTTTCCTTGTATGAAGCGTGAGACAGCTATGGACTTGCACACGCTTATTGACAAGTTCCAAGCCAATGTCAAAATTCTCAAGCAGTTGGGGGAGCAAACTGAACACTGGGATGTGCTACTAATTCACTTGCTCAGTACTCGGTTGGATGCTGTTACGAGACGCGATTGGGAAGAGTATGCAGAGGCAAACGAGACGACCAAGTTTCAGCAGTTGATAGAGTTTCTTCAACGTCGAGTCAATGTGTTGGAAACGGTTAGCGGCAAGTCAGCGGAGATGGCAACACTAGCGAAGAAACATAATCCACCTCGTTCAGCAAATCACGGAGCTTCACAGCAAGCATCGCGCCAATGTCCAGCGTGTTCTAGCCAGCATTCTCTCTACCAGTGTGGAGAATTTTCAAAAATGTCGGTTGACGAGAAGGAGCGTGTAATCCGACGCAATCAGCTTTGCCGAAACTGCCTACGACGAGGCCACTTGGCAAAGGAGTGTTCATCTGAAAGCAGCTGTCGCAAGTGTAGAGGGCGGCACCATACGCAGTTGTGCTATGCCTCAAGATCAGAGGGTAGCAGTCGACCCGCATCCCTCATCCAGCCAAGTCAGCAAAGCAGCAACAACGAACAACTTTCTTCCACCCCAGCGGCACATACTGGCATCACGAGTTGCACTTCCTTGGACAGATCTAGAACGAAGGTGCTGTTAGCTACAGCCATCGTCATCATGGTGGACAACAACGGGATAGAGCATCCGGTACGAGCCTTACTGGATTCAGGCAGCGAATGTTGTTTCGCAACGGAGCGGCTACTCCAGCGAATGAAGGTTCGTCGGTGCAAGGTGAATCTGCCTATTGCAGGGATTGGTGAAGCTGCTACAGAAGTTCACTGCAAGTTCCAGTCCACCATAAAGTCCAGAATCTCCAACTATGTTGCCACAATCGAAGCCTTCGTCCTACCGAGGATCACCGTAGACCTTCCATCAATTTCCGTTGACGCCTCTAGATGGTCGCTTCCAACGGGAATTCAGTTAGCAGATCCATCTTTCTATCAATCCGGAGTTATTGATGTTGTGCTGGGAGCGGAGGTGTTTTTCGATCTCTTCAGCGTAGCAGGTCGCATTCCATTGGGCGAGTCTCTTCCGTGCCTCGTGAATTCAGTCTTTGGTTGGGTGATTAGCGGCAAAACTTCTCAAGAACATTCAAGATCACCCATTGTCTGCAACGTAGCTACTACTGCCGAAATACAACGCAACATGGAGCGGTTTTGGGCCATCGAGGATGATTCGGGAGTTGTACACTCCCCGGCTGAAGCCTACTGCGAGAAATTCTTTTCTGACACGGTCTTTCGCTGCGAAGATGGACGGTATATGGTGCGCATACCGTTCAAAGAAGAGGTTTTGAAGAAGTTGGAGAACAATAAACGCACTGCACTTCACCGCTTCCGTTTGCTCGAGAATCGCCTGGGACGAGATCCAAAGCTAGCTATAGAATACAAGAAATTCATGGAAGAATACGAGAAGTTAGGACATATGAAGCGAATCGACGAGTCTGAGGCAGCATCTGGGCTTGCATACTTTCTACCTCACCATCCAGTCATTCGCGAAGACAGCAGCACCACCAAGGTCCGCGTCGTATTTGATGCCTCGTGCAAGAGTGTTAGTGGAGTTTCCTTTAACGATGCCATGCTGGTTGGTCCAATCGTTCAGGAGGACTTGAGAGCTATCACGATGCGATCTCGCATGCATCCAATAATGCTTATCGCCGACATCGCCAAAATGTATCGGCAAATTCTGCTGTTTCTTGAAGACTGTCGATTTCATTTGATTTTCTGGCGCCAATCACCAGAAGAACCGATCCAAATCTATAAATTGAAGACTGTGACCTACGGCACTGCTTCAGCACCGTATTTAGCCACTAGAGTGTTGAAGCAGATCGCACAGGATGAAAGCTCAAATTTCCCGCTCGCAGCAAGCGCAGCCAGCGAAGATTTTTACGTAGATGACTTCTTTTCCGGAGCAAGTACTGTCGCCGAAGCCATTGAACTGCGAAAGCAGATGGACGCCATGTTGAATTCAGCTGGGATGCAACTTCGGAAATGGGCGAGTAACTGTCCGGAAGTGCTTGATGGAATTCCTCCAGAGAATCGAGCGTTAAAACCTCTGGTGAACTTCGATAAAAATCAGTCAATAAAAACTCTTGGCCTGCATTGGGAGCCGTGCTCCGACCAGTTAAAATACATTGTTCCCGAAGCTGCCGTCGACGCTGATACAATAATTACGAAGCGCAGTTCTCTTTCCTGCATAGCCAAGTTGTTTGACCCACTCGGTTTGGTAGGACCTGTTGTAGTCGTTGCCAAAGTTTTTATGCAATCGTTATGGGGTCTTAAGGATGACAACGACAAGCCGTACGACTGGGACAAGGAATTGCCAGAAGATATGAAACGCCGTTGGATCGAATACTGCTCCGAACTGCCTCGTTTGAATGACTTGCGTATCAACCGATTCATTTTGCTCCCTGATTCTATCTCTGCCGAACTCCATTTCTTCTCGGACGCCTCTTTAGCTGCGTATGGAACATGTGCGTACATCAGATCAACGAACGCTTTGGGGGAAGTAAAGGTTGCTCTGCTCACGTCTCGATAGAAGGTGGCACCACTCAAGCAACAAAGCATTCCACGTTTGGAGCTGTGTGGTGCATTGTTAGCTGCTGAACTCTATCGTAAGGTATCCGCTGCACTACGAATCACATCCAAAGCGTACTTCTGGGTTGATTCAACAACTGTTCTATGTTGGCTCAAGGCAAAAACACCGTCAACCTGGTCCACTTTCGTTGGCAATCGCGTTTCAAAAATCCAGCAAATGACAGAAAACTGTAAATGGAACCATGTCGCTGGTTGTGAGAATCCTGCTGACATCATTTCCAGAGGAATAGCAGCAGGAGATTTTCTCCAGTGTAAACAGTGGTGGGAAGGTCCTCCATGGCTTCAAAACGACAAAGAATCGTGGAAAGTTCAAGTTAATGAAGCCATAGATTCAGAAGCCGAAAGGGAAGCAAGGAAAACATCACTCGCTACCGCATCTCCTTCGATTACTTTCGTCGAAGAGTACATCGGTCGGTTCTCCAACTATCAGCACATGCTACGGATTACTGCCTACTGGAGGCGGTACTTCAGAAATCTACATCTAGCAAAATTTGAACGAGTCGTCTCATCACCGCTTTCTACTTCGGAAATTCGTAGCGCCGAATTAGCTCTTGTGCGACTGGTGCAGAAGGACGCTTTTCCGGCAGAATTGAAAGCTGTGAAAGCAAATCAAACAGTTCCAACTCATTCTCGGCTCCGTTGGTTCCATCCGATGATCGATTCCGACGACATTTTACGAATAGGTGGACGAATAGATCGTTCTTCCCAACCTTTCGATTCGCGACATCAAATTCTGCTCCCAGGATCACATCCGTTTACAACGCTTCTTGTTCGATGTCTGCACGAACGTCTTCTTCACGCAGCAGTGCAGCTTCTTACCAACACCATCCGACTACGATTCTGGATCTTAGGAGGCAGAAATACTACCCGTCGCATTGTTCATAACTGCGTTACGTGCGTACGAGCAAAGCCCAAAGCCATCGAGCAGTTCATGGCCGAACTTCCCTCGCAGCGTGTCACTGCTTCACGGCCATTCTCCGTCGTTGGTATCGACTTTTGGGGGCCGATCTATCTCAAACCTCGTCACCGTAGAGACGCACCAACAAAAGCCTACGTTTCAGTGTTCGTGTGCTTCAGCACAAAGGCCGTTCACTTAGAACTTGTTGGTGATCTGAGTACGGCGAAATTTCTCCAAGCTTTCCGTCGTTTCGTTTCTCGTCGCGGTCTGTGCGCAGATGTATACACTGACAACGGCAAGAATTTCGTCGGTGCCGCTAACGAGCTTCGAAGACTGTTGCGCTCCGAAGACTTTCGCCACTCCATCGCCAGTGAATGTTCGACTTCAGGAATCCGCTGGCATTTCAATCCTCCTCGTGGATCCCATTTTGGAGGTCTATGGGAAGCAGCGATCAAGTCAGCGCAAAAACACTTTGTCCGTGTGCTTGGTGACCGAAAACTAGCCTTTGACGATATGGAGACACTTCTCGTACAAATCGAAGGCTGCCTCAACTCTCGCCCGTTGACCAAACTCTCCGACGACCCATCGGATTTGCAGGCTCTAACGCCGGGTCATTTCATCGTCGGATCCTCGCTACAGTCTGTTCCAGACATCGACTACGAGTCTATTCCGATGAATCGGCTTCACCAATGGCAGCAGATCCAGAAAATGCTTCAGGATGTCTGGAAACGCTGGCACGTAGAATATCTGCAAGCACTGCAACCTCGCAGCAAATGGATAAAACCACCAATAGAGCTAAAGAAGAATCAAGTCGTCGTCATCGTGGACGAGAATCAACCACCAATGCGTTGGCCTATCGCTCGAATCCACGAGCTCCACCCAGGTCAAGATGGCGTTGTCCGCGTCGTCACACTGCAGACTGGCTCCAGTTTGCTTACACGCCCAACTTCAAAGATCTGTGTTCTACCCATACCACCACCCAACGACGACCAAACGACCACATCAGAAGAGCCGCCCGCGCGGTCTAGCTAGAGGTTTCCTTTTTGGATCAACCTGGCAACGTCGGTTTCAGCAAGCTGATCAACCTTACACCGATACTCAATAGCCGCATTCAAATCAATACAAGGCTCTCATACCGGAGGGTCCAGGTGAGGATCTGTCCATATCTTTTACTTCAGTAGAAAAGGCCTACCGGATCTCTTATTTCTTTGCATGTCTACGATTATCTGATAATCAACGTCCCGTCGAAGTCCAGAAATAGTTATTTCTGCAGAGGGCAGGATGTTCGACACCATCAATACGTCTGTCCTCGAATCTGTGACCGATGAACGCTCCACCACCAACTTAGCAACACAACGCAATGGACAATCACCGATCGATATCCCACACATCGACTGTACGGAACATACCACTGTTCGCGATGTCATCTCTCTACAGCATCCGCACCGAAGGGAAAACCAATACACCATAGGACGAGTCAGTGCACATCAATCCACCGTCGCAGCTGGGTGCGTAGCCCACAAATTCATCGCGCCGACAATCTATGTCGCCATCTTCGGCAAACGATGAAGATAATCAATTATTTGTTTAGTGTTTAGTTAAGTTACAAAAATAAACTTTGATTAAATGAGTGTAGTGTAATTTAAGAAAAATAAACTGTGTTTTGTGCATGCAATATTGTTAGTTGTGAAACTTTAACCCGAAGAACACTCGGTCGCTGGATATGTTTTCGGCAATGAGCCTAGCAAAACAATTATTCCTCTGAAAAAGGAACAATGATGACTTTTCAAAAAATATTTTATTTCGAGCAGTATTTATTCCAAAAACAATTACAGTTCTTTCCCGATTTTGTCAGCTCCCGATTTCGTCTACCCCCGATTTTGTCTACCCCTGATTTTGTCAGCCTGCAGATTTCACTACATTTTTGAGTTTTTAAACATGAATTCTCAAATTCTACACTATGACTAATTGTTATTCTTACACTTCACTGTAATCTGAATGTTAGGGGAAGCGGGGGTAAAATGTGCATACGAGGTAAAATTAACAATTGACGATTTTAAGTGCTTTTTCATTCAAATACCAATCAATTCAACGTACAGGTCTTTCATCCAATGTACCTTTTACATTTTAATTAATTTACATTAATATAATATACTCCTACTATTATTTGTTTTCAATTGCTGTTTGCTTTAAAAATCATTTTTACCACGGAAAACCTGTCTATTTTTTGCAATTGTAATAATAACATTGCTTTATAGTCAGCAACATTTATTCATAGAGAATAAAAATGAGCATTAAATATTGCATTGAATTGAACAATAAAGTTTTGATTAAATTTCGTCATCGCTTATTCTCGAATTCAACGGAGATAAATAACATCGTCAATTGAAAGGGACAATGCTTCAACTTAATTAGCCCTATAAGCTTTTGGTTTGGATTGTCGGAGAGGCAGTTTGGATTCCGGAAACGGAGATCAACGGTGGGTGCAATTCGGACAATGGTCGAGACAGTCTAGAAGGCGTCCAAACCGAAGCGAAGAGGAGATCGATATTGCACCGTGGTAACGATCGACGCCAAGAATGCGTTCAACAGCGCAGCTGAAAAGCCATTGCCAAAGCGCTGCATAGAATGAAGGTCCCCGACTACCTGTGCAGGATTCTGAGGAGTTACTTCCAGAGCCTGGTTCTGGTCTGAGCGAAGGCAAGCGGTGTGACTCACCTGCTCGTGAGTGACTGAATGTTTTTGTTTGCTCTTTCATTGCCTAGTCCTTTACCGTTTGGTACAAACGGTCTGCACAGCGCAATGGATTGAATAGTCCAGAGCTTTCACACTCAGCCTTAGCAGTCAATAATTTTACGCTCTGCCTGGGAGTGATGATCGATGACCGACTAAACTTCAACAGCCACGTCGAATATGTCTGTGAGAATGCTTGGAAGGCCATCAACACAATAGCTAGAATCATGCTGAACAACTCTATTCCCAGCAATATCAAGAGGCGTCTTCTGGCTAGATAATGAGGTATGGAGGTCCAGCCTGGTTTGCAGCACTGGAAACGAAGTAGAACCAAAGGAAACTGAGCAGTACGTTCCGGCTCATGGCAATGCGAGTCGTGAGTGCGTACAGAACCATCTCATCGGAAGCAGTATGCGCTATCGCCGGAATGATCCCTATCGGCATCACCCGATGGAGGACAGCGAGTGCTACAGTCGGAGAGAAGCCGGTAGAGTACGGAAAGTGGCGGAAGCAGAGTCTTTGGCATAGTGGCAATATGAGTGGAATACGGTGGATAGCGGTAGATGTACACATAGGTTATTACCGATTCTTTTGACCTAGGTGAACAGAAAACACGGAGAAGTCAACCACCACCGGACGCAGTTCCTGTCTGGCCACGGCTGCTTTAGGAAATACCTGCATCGGTGTGGACACGCAGCGTCATCCCTCTGCCCGGAGTGTGGCAACGTGGATGAAACGCCGGAGCATGTGGTCTTCGACTGTCCAAGGTGCGAGGCAGTGTTAAGGGAGATGGCTATCCTTAACGTGGAGAATGTCGTCGATGAAATGTGTCCCGAGGAAGGCACTTGGAATGGAGAGATGAGCAGCGATCTAGCAACGCCAGCTAGCACTGAGAGTATGAGAAGTGCCAGCCCCCTCGAAGTAGTCGCTTCAGTGTGGTCCCGGGGGATCCAGGCAGAGGAGAGAGTAAGGAATGGGTTTTAGTGGAGCTACACTAGGCAACTAGTGGATACCACCCCGTGCCAACTTCAATACAGGTCTGGCTTTTTGAACTTCTCCCCCACCCCATTTTCTCTGCTTTGATACTGATTTCATTATCGTCAAAGGAAAATTGATTCAATAATTTTAATTATTTGATGGTTTAGAAGAGTTTTATCAAATAAAAGCCGTATGTAACGTAATGCAATATCACACGCAAGATTCCATTTGAAGCCAGGCACACAACAAAAACATTATATCTAATGCATAATTGGATTCATTTTGATTTAATTTTACATGACTGTTTTAGATTTTACTGAAACACATTTAATATTCCATCATATACGATATAATTTTACATGCACTCAACGTAAAATGTGTTTACCGCAGCGTTTGACGTTTGTCGTTTTGATTTGTTGCCACCATGATAGAAGCGCATAAATAATAAAAACAGAGTTCCCCTTTATTCAGGAGATTTTCAGCCGCAGGCTGGTTCATCTTCGGGAATAGAGAATCGCATGTTAAAATTAAAAAATCTCACCGGAATTGTCCGAGAAAAGAAGCTTTTCTTGAAATCCACCGCTACCAGATATCGGATGAGGTGCCGAAAGTTACCGTTCCAGTGGTTGGTGGTGATGGACCTACAGGAAACTGAAGGGTTTATTTGATAGGCTTGTTTCAAGATACCTATTCGTGTGCCATTCATGCATTGTTCTTAATTGAAAAAGTGTGTTGCTATGAATAAATTAAAAAAAGTCATGGAGTGTAATTCATTCAGAATCATCCGAAAACATAATGTTATTCATAACCTCAAAATTGTGCCGCATGTGTCAAGATTACGTGAGGATTGAATTTTACAGAACCGAAGCATGTAAATTTCATTTATGAAAAAATCAACTTGTAAATTTGCAAGTTAATGTAGAAATACGTTATATATCATGCTGTCTTTTTGTTACATGCAGTTTAATGTAATATTACACGTTTACTTATAACTGTGTAGGATGTATCTTTTAGTGAGCGATATTCATCTGTATACTTTGGTGCAATAAGACCACATGAAAAGCGCACACAGAAAAAAGTTCTGAGTTTTAAGTGTCGCGTAAAATCTCCTCTTGTTTAATTATGAGCTATAGTTGGCGTAACCATCGAAATTGCTTATAAGCATCCTTATAATATTGCAGATTTACGCAATATTACGCTTAAATTTGTGTGAAATATCATGTAAAATTACGCCAAATCTAGCGTTAATAACATGTGCGCTATATATCGCAGAAATTTACATTAATTTTTCATACGGTGCAGAACACTAGAAAATATGTTCAAAAAGGGGACTGTTAAAATAGGATCATTACTCACGAGAAAACATGGGACACTGTATTTTACTTTTTTCCTATTCATTCGGTCCAAAACATCCAATTCGCAAATTGAAAAAATACACATCCCAAAACACAGACAAAACTCAATAAAAACCCAATCCAGCGAACAAAATGCATCAATTCCATCCCATCATTGCAGGATCCCAAAAGAACAACACCAATATCCATTCAATCAGACTGACCTTGAAATCGATTCCTCCGTATGCAGCCCGAGGGAACCATTCGTTTGTGTAAATAACATAGTACACTACACATGTACATTTATCCGCTGCAAGATAACATGGCTAGTAAAAATCAATATCCCTGTGCACGATGCAAAACCATCACCTCCAGCTAGAGATACAGTCAATACAAATGGACCCTTTTCTACCGAATGAACCATCAGGCTGAAACTGTTACCATAGAAACCGCTACATTTGGCAGTGCGTGTAACTGCAATATATTCGTTCGGCATACGAGGCACGTTCAAAGACGGGTGGAAAGTAAAACAACGCTGCTGGTGGATTTATTTTTCTGTTTATGTCCTAGGGTGGAATTCTACTTCGGCATAAGCGCTCATTTCCGTCATACCGAGCAGAAATATCAAATACGGGAAATGGCTCTAATGTTGGCCTTTTGATCTAAAATTGGACTCATCGCTAAAAAGCTGCTATTTATCAATTTTATCTAGATGAATGCGTCATTGGGACGGTACTATTGGATATTTGTGGTCGCTATTGGAAATTTATTCGAATGCTGAATTTATGTATGGGGTATTTAGGCTGTAATCCATTTCCCCTATATCAATGATTTTGACGTGAACGAATCCATCATACTTTTGGTACGATAGTTTAATTCGGATACTACAATGCAATGTGTGGTTGGATTTATTACATCCTCTGCATATGTTTCATATTGAAAAGGCGTTTCATTTTGCAAACAAACCTGATAAGGCCATTTTGTCGC